CTAAAGGAAATGATAGCATTTGAAGAATACCATTGTTTGCTTAACCACTTTAATATGGTACTATTTCGGCTGCACTGCTCAATGTGCAATAGTGGCATAACGCGCGTACGTGTCCTGATGTAAATAACACTTGTAGCCAGCTTATCGTTACTTGCGCGGTAGTATAGAAAGTTTCTATGGGTGAAGTTTCTGTAGATCGATGACAAGGGCTTGATTACGAAGGAGGAAAGATAAAAACCAAGGTAAAAACGAAGCTACATTTACGAACGCCGGCGCAATCAATTCTTCATCTCATCATCGTTTCAGACTTATAGGGAAGATCGAGGCTAACTCACAGCACCAGGTGACCGGAAATGTCGCTAATGCGTTTCTCTTCAACAGATGAAAAATCGTCAAATGACGATGAATTACTTTTTTTTTTTTTAGTATTTTCTTTGTCCCAGTTTGCAGAATGTTTGTCAATGTGTAATCTATTGAATTTGATCACTTTTCCGCGCCAGTGAAACCGTATATTTCGTTGGGTAGCAGTACTGAAACAATATATATATATATATATATATATATATATAATAGGTGCCGGTATTCAAAAGAGATCTGTGTATGATAACCACTGACACGTGGACGCGCATATCTGTCTATGGCTGATTGAATTTGCTAATGACTAGCTTGGTTTATTTGAATCAATGGACGGTCGATCTCGCGACAGACAGCGCGATAGCCCGTGTCTATTTACCGACGTTAAGCACGAACGACCACAGCTAAAATTGACTGTTTGTGTACGCAAGTTAGACGTAAGACGGACGAATTTCTGCAACTTGAAGACGTACGTTCCTCACAGAATATTGTGGTATGTAGGTAACAATCGAAAGATGCCGAAAGCGGCGAGAGGGACAAAATCGAGAACGAAATCATTAGCGGCCTCTAGGAGCGGCAGCTAGATAGATCAGCTCCTCGTGATCGCTGTTGCCATTTCGAATAAATGATGCACGTCTAGCGATTGCCATGGGCAAAATAGAAAATCCCGACACTTTGTCACGCTGGTGTTCTGTACGAATCGACAATCGCTGATGATAATGGTGATGAAGCCCGCTAGATTCGAACGGGCCGTTACGCCGTGGCATTGTAGCAATTTTTTTTGACGATGGCAAGTCACATTGGCAACGTATCTCTTAATTTATTATGGCGATCGCGTGAAAACTGTGCAAATTTCACCCCGCAGACTCTAAACTATGTGACATTTCACTAAAAACGTTAATTCTAGTACTCGGCGTGAGCCTGTTAACACTTTTGTTTTGTACTCGCTTATTCTTTATGTCACGAAGCTGTCAAAGCTATTTGGCTGGACGCCATTAATTATATAACAGCATACGAACGGGAAACTATGGCTATATAGACCTCGTCAGAGCTAAAAATGCTATAACACAGCGCAACGATATTTCGTAACAACGCATGGTCGGTGTTAATTAGGTTAATGGGTAAATGAGAATAAAACAGCGGTAAGAAACTTCGCCCATAGAAGTACTATAAGGCCGGGTCGCGCTGCATCGACGCGGAACGTACCGTGTTTTGCATAGATATAATAACATCGCACTAGAAATTCTCGCATCACACGTTCAGTTGAATGAATCCTTTGTCGTACATATAATGTTTAATGAAGGGTGAAGGGTGAAGTGCACTGCCCCAAAGCGTACCTCAATAAAAATCCATTTGTTTGATGGAAAGTGATTCTGCCCAAAGCTTCGGTAAACAGGTAGAAATTCCTCTTGAACGCGTCCGCTGGTCCTATTACCAGATGCTTCAATGGCCCAGGCTACTGTGACTCATTGATAGTGTGTTACTTCTAAAAATATCAAAAGAAAGCAAAAAAGATCTCTAGTTAAAATACAATTAGCTTATTTTTTCATAGCCCCCTAACAGTGTTAGAAAATACAAGGGTCCGGATTGTATTATACGGTCGCTCCAATCGAACGTAAGCGGTGGTTTCTGTCTTCGTTGCGACTCCCACACTTACGATTTGTCCATGTGTCGACAGTCACTGGACGGATGTACGTACTCGTACACTTTGCGTTGATACGTTTTCGACAATGTTTCGTCTTTACACGACGGCGCAGCTGTGAACACTTCTTTACTTCATATCTTGCTTGCCCCGCAAACCTTTAGTACAGGAGTTGGGCATATTCTTCGGGATCTACATATCTGGCTGTTTTTACTGCCTTCAGCACATCCATCCATCCATCCATCCATCCATCCATCCATCCATCGGTTACTGCTTTGACGCTTCAGTAATAATGATAATGATGTGCTTGTTTTGTATGATAACCGGACGTGTGCAACTGGCGCCAGCGTCAATGACAGCCTATATAACTACGTAATGCAGGTTATTGCATGATTCGACCTTAGTTTCTTTGGTCGACCGTTTACTTGAAACTCGACTTCATGTCTTAGCTCTTTTCAGCACTATTTCCAGTTAGTTAGTCCCGTCTTTGTCATTGCTGCGGTCTGTATAGGTGTTCCACGGCGTCCAGTGCAACATTTGCCGCTGCAGCTGTCGCCGTCGCCGTCACCGTTGTTTTCTTCGCTGCTAAAGAACTTCTGCTCGTTTAAACTGAACATGGAACAAAATAACGAACGACCTCTTCTTTTTTATTCAAATTTTTCTATGGCGGCTGCTGCTGTTTTTGCCGACGGCTGCCAGCACTTCGACGCTTTATGAAAAGGATCTCGCCCCCCGCCTAGGTAGCAAGCAAACGGCCAGAGACAGCCCTCAGCTTGCGGTCTGATTGATACACATCTCTGCGAGAACGATACCCAGTTACCCGGATCGAAATGCTCCTGCTGGGTCACATTTTATGAAAAATAAATAAAAACGGCTTTATCACTGCTCTGTGATGTTTCGTCGCTAGGTCTGTGGGAGAAACTCCAGGTAAGTTCAACAGCGAGACCCTTCCTGACAGGCGATTCTTAAAAGTAATTCGGATTACGTGTTTACAAACCCACCCAAATATACGGGTAGCAATATGATCTTAGCAGCTATCGTAGTGGATACTAGTGACCTTTGAACATATTAGCAATGATTGCCGCCACTGACGTTGTTGTACGATTACATCACGACGGTGTACCAAACAGTCAGGGGGCGCCTTCGGATTACCAATGGCAGAAGGGATATAACTGAAACGTCGTTGTAGCCACTGCTGGCTATAGGCCTGTTATTTCGTCAGGCTGTTCGAGGAGGTGCAAACTGGATGCTGTCGTTGTTATTGTTGTTCAAACTGCTGTTGTTGTTCTTGTTTGTTTGCCGAATTTTTCATGGCTACTTACTGTGCTGCTAACGCCGCTACTGCTGCTGCTGCTGCTGCTGCTGCTGCTGTCCAGATTTCGCCGCACGACGAAATAACCGCATAACGAAGTCGGTCGTAATGGTTATGGTGATGATGGGCGTGGGAGAGCAGGGCAAACCACTGTAGCAGAAGAAAAACAGCGGCAAAAACCGCTCGTGGGGTTGGACAAATACCCATGTTTTTTTCGTGTTCTTCTTCTTCTTTTACGGCAATTGTATTCAGTGTCGCGGGCGGCTACACATGTCTGTACATGGCTTCTAGTACTGATAAGCACTTACCCGTGCCACACGATGGGGCTGGACAGAAGAAGCACATTGCTACTGATGAGGATCGTGGTGGTTATGGCGATGGCCAACACTGCAGTTACTTGACTTTGGCCTGAGCGATTAATTAAACCTTAATAGTGATATTTGTACACACATAACCATTGTAGGAAAGTGAAAGCCTGAAAGTAAGTAAACTAGCAATGAAGGGAACAGTGCCTGACACGCGAATTGTAACATGTACATTCTTGGACAAAATAGGTAGGATTACCGATGAAAGACAAAAGGACGCTTGGGCGAATTACATTTTTGGATGGTTTATTGATAGTTTCATTAAGAAAAGCAAACGCCAAGGAGTTCTTCCATTGTGGGAAAGATGAGAGAGAATTCAAGCCAGTGTACTGCTAGCAGTAAACTACCTCGTGCTTCTACGCACAATCCAATCCAAAGTCAAAACAGATTCAATCATCTAGTTACCTAAGTTACTAGGGTTTTAGGAACTTTCATTACCGAGTAAGACTTTAAGCTGCACAAACCAGCAAAAATAATCTGCGACAAAAACATCGCCTGCAATACACACTGACTATAACTGTGATTTTACAAATCATACATGCGTGTGCAAACAGATTATTTTTAAAAACAAAAAAAAAAGAGATCCAGCCTCGCTTTATGCCACTGGCTCATGCTGACAAAAGATTTTTATTTTTTAGGCTTTAACTGTAAATGAATACTGTGATCTTTATCATCCCTGATATCGTAATATGCAGATACCCTAAATATTCCTTAGATAATACCTCAGTAAATGGCAGATTACTTTTTTAATCGTAAAGTTACGATAAATTTAAGGTGAGGTGCAATAAGATATTATGCGGAGATTAATTCTGCAAAAAAATAAGGTCCCGATTCGCATTTAAGGCCACATATGGAATCACTGTTGCAGATTATTGCCCGTGAAGCTTTATCTTCAAATCATCCATTACAAAACTCACTGGACCACATACAAAATAGGTACACAGGAATCTGTAAGGCCGCAATTCGGCAATACACTCGTTACCTGACGAGCATAAGGAAAACAGTGCCTAAAACCCACCAGTTATTTTCTTCATATTAAAATCGACTTCATGTCATAAATGTATTCATTGTTAAAAACGAGTTAGTTTAATTGACAAGTTAGGACTAACTTTGTCTGATTTATCCTCTAGCTAATGGTGATCTAGCCACAAAGGGTGCAGCCGGCGTATTCTATGCACCTTGAACCTTTTCGCTCTATTTCGTATTAAAACTTTATAATTTCGGCGTTTACTTACTCATTAGATGTTTTTATTAAACGCAACTAGGCGGCATTATGTCGAATTGTTCGTGCGTAGGCAGGCTATGTAGCTTCGATGCAAACACTTACCGAAAATGAAGTTGTCGTCCTTTAACTTCCAGTTGTATCCGATAGCTTTTTAATGTTTTGCTCCATCCTTTGTTCGACAAAGAACCCAAGGTCTATTTTGCATCCTATTATCTATTAAGGTTAGAATAATTTCTAATAATGATGATGAGATTGTTATCCAAAATAGATAGAAACACCACGATGACGTGTAGTTAAGGCAGTCACATGATCCATTATCACAGCCGAAGCCACCATTAGCACTAGCCCGGGGCAAAGCACTTAATTTCTATAGATCGGCTTACTCCAAATGTAATCTGTTAGTCATCCGATAAGCGTCCATATCTCCCACAACAGACTGACCAGCATGCGTCAAGGAGTTCAGTCAAAGGTCGCACGATTGATTCTTTGCTTAGACGACTACATCCTTTTCTGTGCGGGGGATCTTAGTTACGTTCACTGGTCTAACGTTGTCACGCTATAACCCACGGTGTCACCGGGTGCCCCACTTCGATTTTGTGCTAATTGTATAATTGATAAAATCTTTAAACCCTAGGCACACAGCAGCGGTTGTTTAGCTAGATCCGAATCAGATTGTCGCGAAGTTATAAACCAATACAATATTCCAAGTGGCAGTTGAGATTCTCTCTGATGGCTTTCGAGATCCGTCAGACGCTGCTGTTATCACAAGCACATTCTTCGCCCTAGTCGCGTCCTATTCAAATACGCCAGTAATCATTACCATCAGAAGTCGAGTGGCTTCTTCTCGTACTGGGTATACATTATACTTGTTATTGTTTCTTCAATAACATCAGCTTCTACTGTATCAGCATCACCAGTCGAGCAGACTGCTCTAGCAATGGCGCAGCTGTATAATACGCTATCTCGGCAGCTAAACAGTGCACGGTGTGAGCCTGCGTTGATATTGTCGCCGTCGTCACGCAGTCTCTCGGGGTCAGTCACTACTGGCGCCAGGTTTTACCAGCGATGGCACCGCGCGCGTAAACGGCCCCGTGGCACCGCCATGAGGGTAGACAACGCTGCAGCAGCGGCCGCCGCTGCTGGCGCGGCGTTGGAAAGGAGATCGGCCACTAAAAGAGTGAAAGGGTCATTTGGCAAGGAGGATGGGGAACAGTGGCAGGGGCGGCCCACTGCAAACAACAACTACAATAAGCCGGAGAAAAGGACCAAGAGAACACAATGGCGCGAGCTCTGCTGGCGTCTCCTGCTGCTGGTCCGGCGAAGGCAGATGATCCGTAATCAAGCTACAGCGATTGATGTTGGCCTCTTGGACGCTGCTAGCCGGAAAGACGCGCAAACCCCTCTCTATTTTCTGGGAACGCCAACGCAGGCGGCACGAACGCGGCAAAGGTTCTTTCAGTTAGTCAACGAGCGGCGATGATGTCTGTCGAGAAAGCAGCAATGCCCCTTTTTACGGTTTGTGAATGAGGGTAACTTAGCGAATCAATGGGAGTATTGAAAGAATCCTACCAAGTTCCACACATAACTCATGCGCTATAATTATTGTTATCCCAGAGTGGCCTGGGGCATGGTGGACGAGAGTTTATGATATGAGTCCTTAGCATGCGTTTTATAAGCTGCCTACACGGCGGGGAACCTGTGACAGATAGCAAACTTAAGAAATGCTTTATAATATCAGCAGGCCTTTAAACAGAAAAGCTGATCGAAGATGTAAAAAATACTGTGCGGATACGGCTTTCGTTTCTTGCGGAAGGAGGGGACAATGTTAGGTCGAGCAATAGTAGAACACGTTTCATGTGTTCTTCTAAAGTGGAGGATTGCCTTCAACTAGACGAGGAAGGTCGGAAAATAGGCCAGTGCATAGAAGTTAATAGTCATGTTTCATTATGCAACAATGTGTTGCATCGAATTGTGCTGGCTTGGGTTGCCATCGATGCGATTCATGATCAAACAAACTATGTCATATCGATATGATTGAAGTGCTATTCAAAATATGGCTATCGGCTAAATTGGTTGATATTTCATTTTGCACAAGATGCATTGAGGGTTGTTGTATACCCGTGTCTCGCTATTGGCACAGACAAATGATAAAGGCGCACAACAGTTTTACAAAGGTTAGGCTTTAGTGTTACGCAAAAGAGTATGACCGAATGAATTTACGACTATGACAGAAAAATAAGTTTTGAAAAAAATAAGCCTTGATTTAGCAGTTCTGCCGTGCTTCATCTGTTTGTTGATTCATTGCTGTTTGATTTTTGTGTATTTTGATGAAATTCGAAAAATTTCGGAAAATATTGTTTAAGTATTAACAGGTTACGTCTCTATACAACGATGCAGATCTTCAGTGGCAATAGGTGTCAACAGTTATCATAACGGCTAATTGCGCAGATCCATTCGCGTGCCGCTTCACTGCTGGCGTAGAAAATCTTAACTAGCGATAACTGAGGTCTCGATGTAAAGGATCTTCGCAAGGGACCGTTAGCGGTCGATAGGTGTCATGGCGAGGGCTCCTGAAAACCGCTCTCACTTAAAGGAAACATTCACACAGCAGACAACAGTGGATCAAAGCTGCCGCGCAAACCTAACCGCTAGTTCTGGATTTAACATAAGTGTCGCCCTGGTCAACGTATGATCTTAATTTCTGTTCCTTTGTTTCTACTCAGATGAAATACTTTACGTCCGAATTCGTCATTGGGCATTCACCGTAGGAAGACTGGTCAGCCAACCAATTTCCTAGCACGACAACTATTTGCAGCACCTAACACGTATCTCTCTGTAATTCGTTGGCAGGTTCGCTGCAGTTGAACCACTATGAAGACTTCCCCTTTTGCATGACAACGTCTTCGTGAAGTTCATCACCGCTACTGATAATACCCTGCGCCTGTTTTAGCTAAGAGAAAGAAGGGAACAAATACTTCAGCAAATCGTCCATATAGAATCCCCTCTTATTTCTCACTGTTAAAAATGAATGGTTTAGAGTTTTTACGTCTAGTGCTTACTGTTATGCATCGTTTCGGACGACTGACTTCCAGTAGAAAATAATGCAAGGCTATGGATGGTGTTGAAGTCAAACCGCTTCGCCTACGCCTAGGCCATAAGGGGAAGGAAGCGAGTGAATATTACAGATTTTGAGTTGCAACTGCCTTAGTATTGTGTCGACCCCCCTCCCCCCCCCGCCCCGCCGGCACAAAACAAATGTTTTTTTAAAGATTCAGACCTAAATGCTTAGAAAGACGTGGACATCTCACTGTCCTACCATACCACTAACGTTCTTGTGACCTGTTTAAGATAAACCATGTCACCAGCCGCGCTTTATTCGGACTGTTTCAAAACTTGATCAGCTTACGTTATGTCTACGTAATGAAGAAATAAAGCATAAAAACGACAAAGGAAGAGGAGCTGAAATTTATCACACTTAGCGATGCTTGCGCCGACTAAACCATCGACAACGCCTAAAGCTGCTATATATCGGCTGGTTGAAACCGTTGAGGACACGTACGATTCTTCTCAGTGGACCTTGCGAAATCTTCGTACAGTCGGCGGTATCGAGCCGACGGTTGCTAGCGGAAGCACGTGTTCGCAATGTTACTCAAACTTGATCTTTGGAAAAGCTCAATTCGATTACGAGCTTGATGAAAAGACATTGAAATGCATCAAGACCGAGCAACAATGGCTATCGACGATGATACGGCACACCAGAGATTCATGCGCTTTAGTGGGTCGCATCAGACATCATTTTCTCTTCTTTATAAAAAGAAAAAACATGACGTGTTAATAATAACATACAGTATTGTTTCTACTAACGAATTCACACACGTTCAGCCTGAACCCTTTAAGGTAATACGGAGTACTAGTGACCTAAAGGGAAACTATTAAAAATGTCACGCGTACTTTTTTGCGAAAGCTATACTGCAGTCTTGTGACGAATGGTGTAATAAATACGTTATCACAGTACAATGCGTCAGACGTTGACGTGTAAAGCCCGGCAATAGACCTTAGTTCCGTCACGAAGACATATTACTACCAGCGTTAAAGATTGGGCTTGAACAAAACGCTGACATTTATGCGATAGGAGTCTGGAAAGTTTACCCAGGTACGCGTTTGCCCCTCCAGCATTTTGACGGATTCTGTATGCTGCGTTCCAGCACTCCACGAGCAGTCTATAGATGCGAAAATTCACGTTGAGAAGACCTTAACAATGGAACTATGTCGATATGATTGATGAATAGCTGTGTTCGATAATCTAAAAGAAATTTCAAAGAAATTCTCATAGATCACGCTTATGTCTGGCTCAGATCAGGTTCATGGCTTCGATAAATCGTTGTGTTATTATGAATTGGATGACGGCTACAGATAGGTGTGTCTAAGTGAAGTTGAACTACTTTCAATATCTTCATAGTTCGACTCGATAGTTTAATGGCAACTACAGGGCCGGCATGCGATTATAATGATTTGCCTGCAATATGCCTAACTACAAGTTCGTGGAAACGATTTAGGTAGTAATGAAGTTCAGTACCATATTTGTACTATGTCGTAACGCGCTTGAATTTGCGATAGTGCTATGATCGCTTCTGATGACGAAGGAGGGAGAAGTGAGGTAAACTTCGGATTGTTCTGATGACACAGAATGATCAGCCTATTCTCTAATGTTACGATGGCATTGCGCGTAAATGTGGTAGCCGAAAACATCGAATTCACCCATCCAATAAGTCATGGGGTACGAAAACTGCGCCAGAATCAAAACTGAAAGTCTTCAGCCCTGAAGTATTTCCGAATTTGTTGATTTTCAAAGAAATAGACAACATTTTGCCGTGATCAAATTCGATAAGTCATTCAATATGTGAAGGCAGAACGTTCTAATATTCCACGTTTTTGGAAGGCGATAAGTTACCAATGTGTATCTATTGTGCGTAGACGCAATTTTAGATTTATCGCCAGCGTTTCTTTTTTGCCACGAAAGGATGCCGTTCTTGTATATACTTCAATGGGTATCGTGTCCCTCATCTACAATCGAAATGAACCGAAGCTGATAATAGTTCATGTATTTTAAAAAGAATATGGATACAAGACACGTTCGGGAATATGGCTACTAAGCTTTAGGTGCATAACATTTCGTTCACATCGGCCTCATCTAACAATCGCAAATATATTTATTGTATACTTGTACAAATGTGCAGCTGCACAGTTCAAGGCTCATGAGCGTATATTTGTAACAGGAACTCCGCAGACCGCGTAAAGAACTTGTTTAGCCCGTGCCACGGGCTCTAAGAAGGGGCCAAGTCTGCATGTTCTCTCGGATGACACGTGATTACGTCTATCTCGCCTACGTTCTATCGCATTTCAAAGATCCTCTTGGCAAGCTTGCACTCTTGTGGCTATTGTTGGTGACAACAATAGTGTACTACCGTGGCATAGGTTTCGACGTATATGCTTTCAAGCGGGTTCCTCGATGTTGTGTTGCCAAGTGTCTCTTGAAGAGTCCCTCTCTTTTTAAAATCTCAACGGAAAGTGTCTTGACACGCGGTCTACAGGAGTAGACACGATTTGTTCTGGTACTGCATCTTGTATAAAGTTAACTCAGTCTTAATCTGGATACGTTATCGGCTGAAATCGTATATCGAAAAATGCTGAAGGTTATCCTTAGTTAGACTTTCGTGAACGACTATAATCGCTATTGGATTGACGTTGGCCATTGTCATACGGATACAGCACCACCGAAATTTTGCTAGCAAAATCGAACGCTTTTGCCGTCTCGACAGGATAAGCGAACTTAAATAAATGCACAGTTTTCACACACAGGTTATACACAAGTGTCAAGAGGTATTTCGTCGGAACCTTTGTGACCTTTTATATATGCACTGTAATAGTTAGATATAGTATAATAACAACTAGATAGATATAGTATTAATCGCTAAAGCTTTAGGCTCGTATGAGCAAAATGAGAAACGTCGGAGCATTAGCCGAAATGCACGAAAACTAATCATGATATAACCTATTTAGAATTAGC